ATGAAAAAAGTCAATATTTCGCAGCTGCTTTTTTATTGTATTTATCATTCCACCTTTTTATATACTCTTCTTTTACATTTTCTTTTTTTTTCTGTAAAAATTTCTTCCATTTTTTTTCTTTTTCGATATGTCTTCTTTCTTTTATTAAATTTTTTTTTTCTTTTTCACTCTGAAGTGCTTTAATAAACATATCACCAGCAGCAGCCCCAAGGATGTACAAACAGACGAACCTTCAAGTATCTCTCTTCTCCTGTTGTCTCTCCTTTCGAAGTGTTTGCCATCAACTTTTCACAACGAAGCAAAAGGAACTGTGGACGCTTCACCTACAAACACACTGACACAGGCAAGTCACACTCAAATTCATCTATTAACAATTTTTCGTTTTGGATTCAATTTATTTCTAGGAAAAGAATCTCTTAAATATTCCTTTTATTATTTTGTTAAATAAATGCTATTTTGCATTGCTACGGGTCTCTGTTATTTTTTTGCATGTACCTTTTCACCGCCATTATTTCATGTAAAATATTCTTGTAGAAACCTTATACAATAATTCTAGAAGTAGCCAAAGCTAAAACTTTTATTATTTTGTTAAATAAATGCTATTTTGCATTGCTACGGGTCTCTGTTATTTTTTTGCATGTACCTTTTCACCGCCATTATTTCATGTAAAATATTCTTGTAGAAACCTTATACAATAATTCTAGAAGTAGCCAAAGCTAAAACTTTTATTATTTTCAAAATGAATTATCTCGGGTCCTGTTTTTTTTTACCTTTTTCGCCATTCCTTCTATTCTTTCTCCTTTACAAATATTTTCGTTATTTCGTTCTCCTTTCCTCCTTTTTCTTTCAAATATCGTTTTTGTTTACTTTTATCCTTTCAGTTTCATTCTTCTTTCTCTTTTTTTTCTATCTACCTTCCTCTTTCTACTTTTCGCGGTTGTTTTTCTACTTTTTCTTTCCTTCGACACCATTCTACTCTCTCTTTTCGTCCTTTCTATCTATTTTTCTATTCTTCTTCCTTCCAGTCCCATTTCTTTTTTTTTTTTTTGTCACTTGTTTCTATCCTTCTCTTTCAATTCTTCTGGGGTAATTTTTCTATTTCTTCTCCCTTTCAGTTCCATTCTTTGCTTTCATTTTGTCTTTCTCCCAACCTCACTTATCTTCGCTATCACCCTCTCTCTCTCTCTCTCTCTCTCTCTATCATTGCATCTGGCAAATGTTTCTTCAAGAAGCATGTCTCTGGTAAATATCACCGACTTCCATACTTGATGAAAAATCTGCGTTTTACTCAGAACCTACGTCAGTCTGTAGGCGTTTGTCGTTACTAGCATTAATCAGAATTAAACGAATATATATATATATATATATATATATATATATATATATATATATATATATATATATATATACTGGTGTTCAAACAAATGTATACACATTTTAAAGCTTTCTCAAGTAATAATTCAAGCAACTAGAGCCAACTATACCTAATTTAAATAATGCTCAGGCAGTATTTATTATAAATGCATGTCACCGCGTACACTATTTCCATTATTCGGACTATTGTCCTCATCTTTGTCGCCATATTTATTACAACGTTTCGGCCGTAGTACGCTCCGGTCTTCTTCAGGTGGTTGGAATGCCGAACTGAACCCATTATTTCGCTCACTGGGATACACTGTTCGTTTCACGTGCCATGTCTAACGGATGTCTGTTATCAGTTATTTCCTGTTAATTCCACTCTCTAAGTTCTCCACTGCCTTAACCAGGTATTGAACTCACACTCTTTTGGATCGTATCATTGGATCTAACTAACGCCTTTATCCATTGAGGACACATGGCACAATGGATAAAGGACTTCTGTGAAAACTTTCCATCCTTCTTTCGTGCTTCACAGGTCGTGGTTGATATCCGTAGTCTTCCGGAACGGTTCTTTGCATATCGTATACAGTACCAGAATCCTTGAGGTTGTAAACCCCTTGGATGGATCTGAATGAAACTCACTTCGGATCCGCCTTTTAACTTCAACCGCATTTTCGTACTTCCAGTAGAATTTCAGGATTAACTTTCTCTCTTCAAAGCTAAGCCGGGATGACATTAGCAATCTTCCTCTGTATGCCGTGTCCCTTCAGAGCGTTAGCGATCATAGCTCTCCACAATTTCTTTTTCTTTTTAGCTTTTAATTATTTTTTTTTCTTTTTTATCTCTCCTAAACCTTGTTCCGCCATCCATTTACTCAAGCTCACTGGGTAAGTTAAGTCTTGTTTTCTTCAGTCCCTCTTGCCTTCAATCTGATTTGTGAGGATCAAATTTTCCAAGCTTCCTTTCCTCATTATATGTCCTGGAAATTTCATCTCATTTTCATGTCAAATATAAGAGTCCTTTTTGTTTCTATTTTCTCTAAAATTTCGTTCTTCCTCAGATGTTCGGTGCATTGTATTCTCAGTATCTTCCTGTAGAACCACATTTCTGTTGCTTCAAGGCTCTTCTTAATCTGTAAAGAGATTGTCCAGCATTCAGTGTCATATAGGCGAACCAGATATTACATGACAGTTCAGCATTCTTTTCTTTGTTTTTAACGAATTTTTTGTCTTTTTTAATACCAGGCTTAACTTCGGGAAGGCATCTTTCGCTATTCCAATGCACCTTCGGATTTCACTGTTGCACTTTTCGTCTTCTATTAAAACACTTTCCAGAGATCTAAATTCTTCTACTTGAATCCTTGTAGAATTTCTAATCCACTCAGAATCGCTTCAATAATCGCCTTGAATAATTTCACTGAATAGACACATACTTGCCTTACACCCCCTTTCTATTTTTGGATATTTACTGATTTCATTTTCTATCCGTATGCGGGGGATTTGCTGCTAGTATGGGTTCTGGATTATTCTAATAGCCTTGCTAAATATGTCAAGGTTACCTCGCAGTTCTAACACTAGTATATATCCTTCTACATTTCTATAGACTTTCTGATATATCCCGAGCATAAATACTGCATTCTTGTTCCAGTGTCTTTAACGAACTCGAACTGTTCTTCTCTTTCCAGTCTGACTAATGTGTGAATCTGAAAAGAAAGCAAATTGACTTGAGTTATCCACTGTAAAAGCGTGTATACAATTTTACACAGCCTATATATATATATATATATATATATATATATATATATATATATATATATAATATATAAAAGTCACCTGGTTAATATTAATAAATGTTTTTTTCGTGCTGATTACATCGGTACCCTTTCGATTGACTTGGTTTTGTTGACCAACTTATCAACTCTACTTTATATATATATATATATATATATATATATATATATATATATAATGTGTGTGTGTGTGTGTGTGTAAGTTGTGCAAGTTGTGCACTGGGATAATCTGGCCTGTAAAAAAAATTTAATATTAGTGAACCTATCGGAAGAGAAAATTAAATTAATCTTACAAAAATTCTTCAAAGTTAAAAGTTTGAGTTGTGGGAAATTGTTGCTTTTCTCCGCAGAAATTCAGTATTTAACCATAGTTTTAAATATATTTTATTTTTATTTTGACCGAAAATATTTGGCCCAAGTTCACTGAAAAAGGCCAGTGATTATATATGTCAGATTTCGCAAGGTTAATTATGTCATAACTCTTCACTTAATCATATTTTATAACAAAATCCATGTTCTGCATCATACTTGATCAAGAAAGTAAACAGTACACTGTTTACTTAATTCGGACTATTGCCTTCATCTTTGTTGCCATATTTATCGCAACGTTCCGGCTGTTAGGTTGGAGCTACACAATCTTTACTTTCCAGCTTGGAGTTCAACATTGTTTACGTTGTCTTGTGGGGGTAGGGAATCTTATCCATTCTGCAGTCTCTTTTTCACAAGTTTGATGCTACTGTATCATTATTTACATGGCAGTTTAGCTCCATTATTTAGTTGCACTAGTTGAGACCAAGGTAGCTGGGACACGCAGTACTACCTCTACGGAATTGAATCATCCTTATTTCCCCCGCGTTCCAAATGTATGAAAGAAGTACGACTCAAACAGCCCCCCCCAAGAACTGACATTATGTACAACAGACTCTCTCATGGGTGCTTCTCTAAACACTATAATCTTGACCTCTCCAAGTCAACGGTCAATCGTTGTCTGTCCTCTTTATAATCTCTACCACCTTCTCTTACATTCATACCACACATCTCATTCATCGTTACCATTTCAGCAATAACAGTTCTCGAGTTTTCTTTTATGATATATATATATATATATATATATATATATATATATATATATATACTTTTTTTGTAACTATTGTATTTTAACTAATAAACAAACGGGTAAACCGTACGAATGTGCACATAAAAGTAACCAAGTAAATTTAACAATAATAATAATAAATACCTAATAATAATGAATAAATACGAAATGCGATCAAATAAATAATAAATAAAAGTCATTTAAAATTAACAGACAAACTTATTAAATAACTATAAATTAATCACTTTCTATCCCATAATTAGTTCTATTTAACAGCCACTAGAATCTATATATAATATTATCTTAACTGCCGTTAGTCCGTTCATCATAACCCTCTACATTGACAACCAAATTTTTGGGGAGAAGTGCAGCTAGGTAAAGGCGTAAAAAGTACACTTAGTTTTACTTGTGTGCGGAGCTTAGTACAATAAATTTTCATTTATTTTTTGAGAAAAATTAAAATTGTTTATATTCAACATACCAAATACTCCCACTATTTTAAAAACAATTTAATGATTAAAATAGCAAATATTTATTTAATATAAGCGTAGTATTGTTTTTCGGATATTTTTTCTTTAAGCTTTTTATAGTGATTTTCCAAAAGTAGCGTGGATGCGGCACAAGGCCGAAAGTAGGGGGCACCCAGTGATGATCGAACTCACTACTCTTTCGTAATTGTTTTAGCGAGACAAGCTTGCTAACCATTACACCACATCGAGGTGCCCTCTTTAAGCTTTTTATATACAAGAATGCAGTTTCCAGTTCGAGATCTATAAGCAAATCATAAGGCCAAATGCTTCAAAAGTCTGGAGTTTAGTTCCAGAAAGATATATTTGCGCATGGCCAGTTGTATGTTGCATGCTCAAGATTAAGAAATCGTAAGAATGTATTCTTCGCTGTTAAAAAGTGAAAAAATAAATTTTCTTAAAAACTATTGTTTATCATGAAGTCCTATGAAATTAAATTAAAGAAATTATTAAACCGCGAAGTAGGGGTTTTATGAAAGTATTTTCCAAACAAATCAAACTTATTCAAATATCATCGATCGGTTTACGAAATTGAAGGAAACGTAGAGTTTGTAAATCTCGACAGAAAACATTAGTGATAACTTCAACAATATTAAATAGTAGGGATTTCAACTCGAGTTAGCGGGTTGCAAAAATATCTAGTAATTTAAAATAACTGTATCCGCCTATTCAATAGTCGTTAGAATAACACAATAAACCGGAAAAAATCTTTTAGACGGCATCATTCGCTATCCCAACGCGCCTTCAGATTTTAGTGTCGAACTTTTGGTCCTATATTAAAACACATCCCAGAAAATTTAAATTGTTGCACCTGTTTGATTTGATGACGGCTTTTAAATCAAATAAAATATATAAAATCTATATTTTTAAAATCTTGCTACCCATAATACCCCAATGACAAACTTGTATAAATAGGTGACCTATAAGCCAACTACCATGACCTGAAGATTACAATCAAGGATAAAACAGACGGTCACTATTCAGTGTCCACATTTCTCATATATATATATATATATATATATATATATATATATATGTAGTTCGCAGACAGTACTGTTTCGCTGTATCACAACTTCTCAGTGCGACTAGGCATCCGAATGCCTCAACCCAGAACCGAAACCCGACCGATCTGGTGTCAGTCAGAGTTTCTATCTATCATCATTCGGCAGATAGAAACAGCTAATTCTGGCGTATTATTTTTACGAATGTAAACAAACGCCAATCAGTCAGAGAGCTCCAATTTATTTTACTGAAGATATATATATATACATCGTGTTCCTACATTTTAAACACGAAATCTCAATAACTATATTTTTTTTACCTCCATACATTAAATATGCTTTTGTCGAAAAAAGAAAGAAGTGACTTCTTTTCGGAGTGGGGGGGGGTATGCTAAATGAGAAAGTGTATTCAATGAAAATCACAGATATGCATCACACTTGATTAAATGCATAAAGAATGTTCTAAGATTGACGGCAGTGTGAAGTTATTGTATCGAGGTTCAAGTGAATCTTGCAAAGTGCATTAACCTTTGCATTACAAATGATGGAAATCATA